CACAGACACACAGACACACAGACACACAGACACACAGACACACAGACACACAGACACACAGACACACAGACACACAGACACACAGAGACACAGAGACACACAGAGACACAGAGACACAGAGACACAGAGACACAGAGACACAGAGACACAGAGACACAGAGACACAGAGACACAGAGACACAGAGACACAGAGACACAGAGACACAGAGACACAGAGACACAGAGACACAGAGACACAGAGACACAGAGACACAGAGACACAGAGACACAGAGACACAGAGACACAGAGACACAGAGACACAGAGACACAGAGACACAGAGACACAGAGACACAGAGACACAGAGACACAGAGACACAGAGACACAGAGACACAGACACACAGACACACAGACACACAGACACACAGACACACAGACACACAGACAGACACAGACAGAGACACAGAGACACAGAGACACAGAGACACAGACACACAGACACACAGACACACAGACACACAGACACACAGACACACAGACACACAGACACAGACACACAGACACACAGACACCCAGACACACAGACACACAGACACAGACACACAGACACACAGACACACAGAGACAGAGACACAGACACACAGACACACGGACACCCAGACACCCAGACACACAAACACTCAGGCACACAGACACACAGACACACAGACACACAGACACACAGACACACAGCCACACAGCCACACAGACACACAGACACACAGAGAAACAGAAACACAGGCACACAGGCACACAGACACACGGACACACAGACACACAGACACACAGACACACAGACACACAGACACACAGACACACAGAGACACAGAGACACAGAGACACAGAGACACAGAGACACAGAGACACAGACACACAGACACACAGACACACAGACACACAGACACACAGACACACAGAAACACACAGAGACACACTGCGACACACAGAGACACACAGAGACACACAGAGACACACAGAGACACACAGGGACAACAGAGACACCACATGAGACACACAGAGACACACAGAGACCACACAGAGGAACACAGAGACACACAGAGACACACAGAATACCGTAGAGCACAAACAGAGACACACAGACGACACACAGAGACACACATAGGACACACAGAGACACAACAGGGACACACAGAGACACACAGAGGGACACATAGAGGGACACACAGAGACACACACAGACACACAGAGACACACAGAGACACACAGAGACACACAGAGACACACAGAGAACCACAGAGACACACAGAGACACACAGAGACACACACAGACACACAGAGACACACAGAGACACACAGAGACACACAGAGAAACACAGAGACACACAGAGACACACAGAGACACACAGAGACACACAGAGACACACAGAGACACACTGAGACACACAGAGACACACAGAGACACACAGAGACACACAGAGACACACAGAGACACACAGAGACACACAGAGACACACAGAGACACACAGAGACACACAGAGACACACAGAGACACACAGAGACACACAGAGACACACAAAGACACACAGAGACACACAGAGACACACAGAGACACACAGAGACACACACAGACACACAGAGACACACAGAGACACACAGCGACACACAGCGACACACACAGACACAACAGGACACACACAGACACACACAGGACACACACCAGACACACACAGACACACACAGACACACACAGACACACCACAGACACAGACAGACACAGGACAACACGACACACACAGACACACAACACAGACACACCCACAGACCACACACCACACAGACACACACAACAGACAACACACACACAGACAACAAACACAAAGCCACACACACACACAGACACACACACACAGACACACACAAGACACCACACACAGACACACACACCCAGGCACCACCACACAAAGACACACACACAGACACACAACACAGACACACACCACACACAGACACACACACACAAACACACGCACACACACCACGCGCGCACAGACGCACACACACCACGCACACACAGACACACACAGACACACACACACACGCACAGACACACGCAGACACACGCACAGACACACACGCCACACACAGACACACACACAGACACACACACAGACACCACACACACCACGTGCGCGCGCACACGCGCGCACACGCGCGCAGACGCGCGCACACGCGCGACACACGCGACACGCGCACCACGCGCACACGGAACCGCGCAACGCGCAACACGCGCACCACGCGCACACGCCGCACACGCGCACACGCGCACACGCGCACACGCGCACACGCGCACACGCGCACACCGCGCCACGCGCACACGCGCCACACGCGCACACACGCACACGCCACGCACACGCACACGCACACGCACTCGCACACGCACACGCACACACGCACACACGCACACACGCACACACGCACACACACACGCGCACACGCGCACACGCGCACACGCGCACACGCGCACACGCACACACGCACACACGCACACACGCACACGCACACGCACACGCACACGCACACGCACACGCACACGCACACACGCACACGCACACACGCACACACACACACACCACACACCGCACACCACACGCCACACGCCACACGCACGCACGCACGCACGCACTCACGCACGCACGCACGCACGCACACACAGACGTTGGCGAGTTCTCTGTACCCCTGTACCCTGCATTGGAGAATGGATAGAGGGACGGAGGAGGAGCAGGAAGAGGATCCGTGAGGAGGATGGGCAGAAGGGGGAGGTGGGAGAAAGAAAGGAGGGGGCAGACGCGGGCGACTTGTGCCCCACACCCAACAGGTGCACTCGTCCATGACCGCGCTGTAGCGCGCTGCCTCCGCTTGTGCGTGGGGGGGGAGGACGACGGGGAGGAGGAGGAGGAGGAGGAGGAGGAGGAGGAGGACGAGGACGAGGAGGAGGGGGAGGAGAGGGAGATGGGCATGGAGGGAAGCTAGGTGCGCTCGCGCCAGATCTGAAATCCCACCCCTCCCACCCATCCCTTCCAACTGCGCGGTGTTCTTCTCTTTCCGACGACGCACGTCGTAGCGGACCTGGAACTCCAAAGAGGACCCTTCATCGTGATTTGTGCAATCGCACAAACAAAGGGAGCTGCGTACACTGGAGGAGGAGGTGGCGGATGAGCAGGAGGTGGAGCAGGAGGTGGAGGAGGAGGAGGAGGAGGCTGAGGAGAAGGAGGAAGGGGGGAGGAGGATGAGAAGGAGGATGAGGAGGAGGAGGAGCAGGAGGAGGCGGGGGATGAGGGAGGCGTCCTCGATGAAAGAGGGAGGACTCTGATCCGGAAAAGTGGCGCGCGCGCGCGCTTGGGCGAGAGCGCCGTGCGGACCGACGGGAGCAGCGCGCCGATCCGAACACGAGCCCCACGCTGCAGCGGGAGCATGCGAACACCGAAAACAGTCGGAGGGACAACCACAATTAATCAAGGGCAGAAAAAAAACGCCCCTGCCCTGGTTTACGAGGCGCTGTGCTCTGAACCTCCTGTGGGCTGAAAGGGTAAACCCTGCGTGATGTGCCGCGTCCTGGCGGCTCTAGGCTTTGGGGGTTCCCAGGAGGTTTACAGACCACGCACTTGTAATCCAGGGTAGGGTCGTTTTTTTTCATCCCTCAAATTAAGAAGACAATGGTGGAAATCCTGCGTGTGAAAAAGAATCGTACGTGAAGGGGGCCGAGCATCTTCCCGACAGAGTCAAGGGAGAGAGAGAGGAGAGAGTCGGAGTCACAATGTGCCACTTTCGAGGGGGAGGGACGGGGATCGGAGGTTCACCCCTCCCCCCCTCCCCCCTCCCTTCCCCTCTGCCCCACTCCTCCCCCTGCCCCAATGGTGGAAATCCTGTGTCTGAAAAAAAATCGTACGTTGAGAGGGCCGAGCATCTTCCCGACAGAGTCCAGGGAGAGAGGAGAGAGTCGGAGTCACGATGTGCCATTCTCGAGGGGGAGGGACGGGGATCGGAGGTTCGTCCCTCCCCCCCCCTCCCCTCCCTCCCCTCTGCCCCACTCCTCCCCCTGCCCCTCGCCACCCTCCCCCCCGCGGGGCCTCCCTTCCCCTGCCCGAGTCTGTCCTCCAACATGTGGACCGCTCGCGAGCGTGGGGGCGAGCCCCGCCCACCAACCTCTCCTGGTGCCCAATCCTGCGAGGGCCTCACGGCCTGCGCCGCAGATCCTGAAGGGGGACCAGGAGGAGCAGGAGGAGGAGGACGACGATGAGGAGAAGGACGAGGAGGATGACGAGGAGGAGGAGGAGGACGAGGAGGAGGAGGATGACGAGGAGGAGCAGGAGGACGAGGAGGAGGAGCAGGAGAAGGAGGAGGACGACGATGAGGAGAACCATTGATTTATTTTACCCTCCTGGGGTCGTCTTTGGGAGTGCTCTCGCGGCTCTCGTGGGCCTCTTGGGGGGCTTGTTCTTTGTGTGGCCAATGCGACACAACTCAGCGGTAACGCATCGCCACCCTTTGGTGTGCGTGTCAGGCCACGAAGTAAGGATGGCATTGTTCGCGTTGGGAGGTGGGAGTGACCACATCACGCGGCCTCACTTGACTGCGGCTTACGGTAGGTTCGCGTCGTGTCGGGTTGCGGCGACCCCTCCGCCAGCGTTCAACGTTGAATACCGCCGGCGACCCAGAATTGGCGACCCAGAAGCGGCCGATTGTTCAAGGTTTAACGGTTCTCGCGGTGTCAGAAACCAACGCCTGGGTCGACACGACACGAACCCGCGGTACGTGCCACATCGGTGAACGCGGGACCCACCGTGCACACGCTTTGCATCTGGAAGAGCCAGAGCGACTGGATCGAAGCGTCCTTGGCCCTCGAACTCCCGCAATGAGTGGACGCTCCAAGCTCTCACGCTCCTCAAAAGTAGTTTTGTTCAGGGCGTCTGATTGCGTTTCTTTATGGTTGGCATGCGGTTCTAGATGTCTCGCGTCTCGTGTGCGCCTCGCGGGTGCCTTGTGCTCCGGTTGCAGCACAACGTAGTCTGCACAACACATGTACACCACACAATACGCACCACCCAGCTTACACCACATAAGTATCGGAGGTGAGGGGGTGAGATCGAAGTGAAACGGAGAGCCCCCCTACCGGGAAATCGGCAACCGGTGTCCCGCCGCTGTCCCGCTCGGGGGCCGGTGGCGCGCGGTGTCCCGCCGGTGTCCCGTCGGTGTCCCGATGATGATGATGATGATGATGATGATGATGATGATGATGATGATGATGATGATGATGATGATGATGATGTTGATGATGTTGAGGATGATGAGGATGATGGTGATGGTGATGATGATGGTGTCCCGATAATGATGATGATGATTATGATGATGATGATGATGATGTTAACGATGTTGATGGTGATAATGATGATGATGATGATGGTGATGGTGGTGACAATGATGGTGCCCCGATGATGATGATGATGATGATGATGATGATGATGTTGATGATGATAATGTTGCTGATGATGCTGATGGTGCCCCGATGATGATGATGTTGATGATCCTGCTGATGTTCATGATAATCATATGAGTTGATGATGGTGATGATGAAGGTGATGATGATGATGGTGTCCCGATGATGATGATGACGATGATGATGATGATGATGATGGTGATGGTGATGGTGATGGTGATGGTGATGATGATGAGGTTGATGATGATGCGGTTGATGACGATGCTGATGATGATGGTGTCCCGATGATGATGATGATGATGATGATGATGATGATGATGATGATGATGAGAACAATGATGCTGATGATGATAACGATGATGGTGTCCCGATGACGATGCTGATGTTAATGATGAGGATGGTGATGAGGTGATGATGCTGATGTCGATGATGGTGGCCGAATGATGGTGATGATGATGCTGATGTTGATGATGATGGTGTCCCGATGATGTTGATGATGATGATGATGGTGATGATGATGATGGTGACGATGATGATGGTGTTCCGATGCTGATGCTGATGATGTTGATGATGATGTTGCCAATGAGGATGATGATGATGATGGTGTCCCGATGATTATGATGATGTTGATGATGTTGTTCACGATCATGATAATGAGATGCTGATGCTGATGATGGTGGTGTTTCGATGATGATGATGGTGTTCCCGTGATGGTCGTACAGGTATATGTATACAAGACTGCATTGTCGCTTCGCGCCATGCACCTTGGTCCTTGAAGCTTTGCTTGTGTTGGTCGTTCGCGCCGTCCCTAGTGGCCTTGGACATTTGGCCCTTTCCCTGCGGTGGATGTCGGAAGTCTTCGAAAGTTCGGGCGGTCCGTGGCTCTTCCCGGGCTCCCAGGGGCTCCCGAAAGGCGCCGGAAACACGGCGAAGGACAGGAGGGAGGGAATGTCAGAAAGCGAGGAGACGGAAGCGGATGTGGGGGAGGACGAGCGGTGGAGCGGCAGGAGGAGGAGGAGGAGGAGGAGGAGGAGGAGGACCCAGAGGAGGAGCGGGAGGAGGGGAAATGATGGCGCCGTCGGGAAACAGCGAAGAATTCCGGCTGCGCCGCACCGGGAACCGCTGTCTAGAATCCAACGGTTACGGTCTCGTGTGTACGTGAACGTTTGCGAAAATGTCTGGCAGTGAATGACGACGAACGGCCTTCGTAGGTCCGCACATTGGCCCGCTCGTGGCTCAGGTGCCCCTGTGCGCAATGCGAAGGAGTGGCAAGCCACGCGAATGAATGCCAAGCAAAACGGCGCAATGTCAAGCTACGCCGCAAAACACAACGCAATGCCAAGCCGAGCATGTCATGTTGCAGCGGGTCGCGGCGGGGCACCCGAAAGTAAGCAATTCTTAGGAAATGCACCGAATCCCGGGTTCGCAACAGATTTTCGGGAAATGTGGCTGCGAAGCCGTGATTCGGGTCAGTTTGGTGGACAACGCCGCGTGGGCCTTGTTGAAAACCTGGCGGGCCGGCTTGGGGCTCTGTCGAGCCGTCCCAGGGCCATTTTGGGCCGCGTTGGGGACCTTGGGCCCTCGAGGGACTTTGCGGGGGCTACGTGGGCCCTCCTGGTAGCCTCCCGTGGCCTTTTTGGTGGCCTCCCATGGCCTTTTTGGGGGCCTCCCATGGCCTTCTGGGGCCTCTCTTGGGGGCCTTGTGAGGGCCTGTTGGGTTTTCTCATGGCCCGTGTGGGGTTTCCTTAGGCAGTTTCGGCGCCATCCAGGCCGTCGAGGGGCTTTCTTGGGGGTCTCTTGCGCCGTTTTGGGGCGATGCCGGAAGCTCTTTGGCTGTTTTGGATTAGAACCCGAACAGCGAATTCCTGAAAATGCACGTTTCCCTGAAGTAATGAAGGGGGGTCTGCGTTCTGGGAGTCCTGCTCAGGGCCTCCAGGGCCGTCTTGGGGGCCTTTGGAGGCCATCTGAGCCTTTCTCGGAGCGCTCTTGTGCTGTCTTGGGTCTTTCTTCGGCCTCATCTGATCACCGCTCTGATCGCCTGGGGTCCGCTGGCAAGACCCTGCCAAGCGCCCTGGGAGGTCCGGGACGGTCCGGTTGACCTTCGGCAAGGGTGTCGGGGGGGCCCGGAAACCCCGGATCTTGGGGTTCGGTTTTGGGTGTGTGGGGGGGGGGTCCCCCCCCCTCGGCTTGTAAACACATAGGAAGAGAAACATGTGCACCTATACGACCGCCCTGCGGGCGAGAAGGAGGTTTTGGGGGGGATTGAGATCAAATGCCCACCCTGACTGACCTCCAGCCTGTCACCTTGATATCATCTCTCTCTTTCTCTCTGTTCTCTCTCTCTCTCTCACTCGCTGTGTCTCTCTCTCTCTCTCGCCCTCTCTCTCTCTCGAACGCTCGAGCCTCGC